AGCGCATCGTTTCCTCGATTATATTGCACACTCTCTTCATCCGAAGAAACGAACAGGTAGAAGAGAAAATAGCTGGCGCGGTTAATTAAGCGGACTCTAGCAGAGACTAGTAGACCTTCCCTCCGACTGAAAACCTATTAGCTCGGCTACGAACGATCGATTCCACGTCCCGCTTAAACTAATCTATATTTACGGTACAAAGATTGAACCGGCAATACAACTCCAACAGAGTACATTGCCGACTTTAAACCCGAAATAGCAACTACGTGTGTTGACTGAGTATTTTGATCGGAGAAAAAAATCTCCGCCCGCAAAAAATATCATACCATAAAATAGGTTCCTCGACACGGGAGGCTTTCGCAAAAAATGAAGAAATTGAATCATAAATATTCATTATGACTTTATAGTTTATAGGAACCAGGGATTTAAAACGATATGAAAAATACCGGTAATATATCGGTATTTTTCGGTATTAAATAATACAGGAATTAAAAACCGAAATACTTTTATTATCAACTATATACCGGTATCAACCATACCCGTATTCAATAATAGCGGTATACGAAAAACCGAGACCGAATACCGGTATTGGACGTCAAATACCGGTATTCAACCGAAATTTTCATAATACCGGTATACGCATAATTTTTCGGTATTATACCGGTATTGCTATTATTGTATGCTGTATTAAAGGTCTTCAAATCGAATCTCCACCTATTTTATTATTTAACGATCAAAAAATTCCTAAAATTATCTTATTTTTCAAGCGTTCACTCAAATATAACTCCTTAGAGCTTATAATTTTAATAACGGAATAACGACACGTAGATGTTTAAAAGTTTTTCCTTTATTGAATAACGGTTGGAAGAATAACATTAACTGTTAAATAGGTTTATTACAAATAATCTCGTTCACTCAAATATAACCCCTTAGAGCTTATAATTTTAATAACGGAATAACGACACGTAGATGTTTAAAAGTTTCTTCTTTATTGAATAACGGTTGGAAGAATAACATTAACTGTTAAATAGGTTTATTTACAAATATTTTCATATAAATGTTTTAGCTAATATTCATTTGTTACTGTTAATTATTTGTATATTCTACGTTATTTATTTATAGTTTTATTGTTTTTTTTACGTGTCGTTATTCACATTTGTTACTGTCAATTATTTGTATATTCTACGTTATTTATTTATAGTTTTATTGTTTTTTTTACGTGTCGTTATTCCGTTATCAAAATTATAAGCTTTAATGGGTTATATCTGAGTGAACGCCTGAAAAAATAAGATAATTATGGGAATTTTTTGGTCGTTAAATAATAAAATAGGTGGAAATTCGATTTGAAGACCTTTAATGTAGCATACAATAATAGCAATACCGGTATAATACCGGTATTATCGAAAAATTATGTATATACCGGTATTATGAAAATTTCGATTGAATACCGGTATTTGACGTCCAATACCGGTATTCGGTCTTTCGTATACCGCTATTATTGAATATAATAATTATACGGGTATGGTTGATACCGGTGTACAATTGTTAGGAGAATTAATTTGGTATTAAATCTCTGATAAAAACAGCAATATCGAAAACATATCATAAAAATACTGATTTGTTTTTATCTCGCGAGATAAAAAAGAGATTTAAAAACAAGAAACGAATATGAACAATAATATATAATTAATAAGAAATGCGGTGCGATATGAATTTTATTTATCAAGCAATTCGATATAATACTGTAAGCATTGTTATGTGCAAAATTATACAAGTGGAACGTAATCGAATATAGATATAGAATTAAAAACGAGTGGTTTAGAGAGAGAGCATGTGAATTAATACGCTTATAAATTATATACACGTGAGAATACCTATCGCCTCGGCTATTAACCGCTCGACAAGCGCAGTTCCCCTTTAGTCTTGTGTAACACACTCTCTCGTGTAATATCATTTCCGCATAAATCTTATAAAGCGCACGGCTGACGCGAGCGACGGCGGCGTGACTGGCTGGCGAGTCGCGTTTAAACCGCGAAGATGAGAGGAGTGAGATAAGAGGAAAAAAAGCTTGCAGGAAAATGGATGCGTCACGTGCTGTAACTTACTTTGCCGTACGAGTTAATCTAACTATGAAGTTTCCCATATAAGGGGATGCTGGTAGGCGCGCGCTTCCGCTTTCTCTTAAGTAGTTTAAGTTAAGTCAATGCTAATTTCGTTTCTCTTTGGAGGGGTAGAACGAGATTTACGCAATCGGACGTACATCATGCTCTTCAGCTACCGTTTCTTCACGACCCGCCGCTCCGTCGGACTTGACGTTGATTAGTGTTCCTAATAGTCTGAATTAAACGGCGAAATCCGCGCGACTTATTGTTCGCGTTGCGGGGAATGAAGTTTTAACGCAGGTGATAATTCCGCACTTTGCAGCCTGGTAATGATAAACTTCGTTGAAACGCGGGAGTTCTGAGGTAAACTTTCTGCAGTAACTTTTACGACTTAAGTACCACCTGTTAAAAGCATGCTCCGTTTAGAAATATATTTCGAAACAAAATTACGAAGATTTAAAAAAAAGCATTTCAGTTAGATTATGATAGATTTCATATTACTTCTGATATTATTTCGGAATATATTTTTCGCTGTTAAAAAGCTAACGTAAATAAAAAAATTACTACAAAGAACAAAGCTTTTTATAAAACATTATGTTGATAGGCATATGTAAATTACGTATAAAAAATAAAAAGTTGTAACAAAAGCAAGGAATTATGTTCATTATTGCTAATTCGCATGGAAGAAAAGAAGTAGGAAAAACAAGAGTGTTTACCGTTCAACAAAAATTCAACAGCGCTGTACTGATAGTTTAGTTGGCGGGATCAATCAAAAAGAAAGTATTTCTCACGCAAAAAACAACGAATTAATATTTAAAATGATAAATGGCTTGGCAGACTGCTCCACAATTATTGGAAAATGCGAATCTCGCGGCAGGATAACTCGAACGATTATCTTTCTCATTCTATTTCGCGTGTTGCGCCGTGGGAAAATATGAGGAGAGGAATCGTTAGAAAGATATACCGCGCGCGCTTATTTAAAAGTAATTAAACTTCCTGCGTGTAATTCGAACTTGTTAAGTCTTTACTATATCTGTTATTTCATTTTAAACTGATTTAAAAGCAATCTATCTATTCTTTAAAAATATATAAAACGTTTATCAAATATTTTATTATAATTTATGGGCTTCTATTCTTTTACCGCTATAAAATCTTGTTATATGGAGGATAATTAGAATTTAATTAATTAATATAATAACGGCAAAAAATAAAAGAATTTGCATTAACATAATAACTGAAAAATTTGTTTTTCATTTGTACATTACCTTTGCTTACATTTTTAATTGCCAATTATTAATTTAAAAAATCACTTTAATGAAAATTTCTTTATTTTTGTTTTAATAATTATAAACGAGCTTTTGTTCTTTAGCATTTATATATATATATATATATATATATATATACAATGCTTTTTAATAATACCTTTTGTGCTTCAGAATTTTGATAATATCTTTTTCACAAATTTTGATATCATCTCTTGCTCAGGAATTTTGATATTGCTTTTATTATTTAACAAAAAATGTAATGTCAAGCATCTGCAAATTCTAGAATTGCATCTCAAGACGTACCACTCAAAGCAACTCGAATTAGATATTCAGCAACGATCAAGTTGTTGATAAAAAGGTAGGATATAAAGCTGCGATTCATGTTCCTAATTAACGCCACATCACAAAATCCATCCGTTTTTCAATAAACCAACGACATTTTCATGAGAACGCGTCTCGGAAAAGCGGAAAGCAAGAGCAGGAATAAACGATATTGCGCAAACCGTCGCTATTTCCGTCGTTTTCAAGCGAGGAAGCGAAACGGCGGAGACAGGTATATCTGCGAAACAGTCACATTTTACGATCTCTCGCCGCGGGCCATGAATATCGCAAGCATAAAAGCGCTACGGGAGAGAAAAAGGAGGAGCTCGCGGCAAGGCTCCCGTTTTAAAAAACGTAGCGGATAATTGTTCATAGATCGCTTTGAGACGGCACCACGTCGATCTACCCGAGCCGCATCGTCGCAAGCTCTGTGAAGAATTAATTCCGTAGTTGGATGCCGCATTTAGATATGTCATATTCATCTACAAGAGTCATATAAAAAAATTGAATGGCAGAAATTTTTTGCCTCCCTATAGATGCGTTCATTTACAAAAGTATATTTATGAATAATTATAATTGATGTTTATCATTTTTATTGCAATGCAAACTTCGAACTATCATACAACTTTGTAACAAATTTACAGGGATTAACAATATTGATGACAATAACAGCTTTTTGTTATATGATATGCTGCAAAATTTTCATGTATTTACGGATTTTAATTGAACGAACTTAAATTTTATTTTAGTCGAACGTAATGAACTGATCGATCAGTTTGAATTCTATTTTAAGCAAATAACAAATAAATCGAAAATAACATTTAATTTGAAATGACAAACGGTTTTATAATATAAGCTGTATATAAGAAGATAAAAAAAACTTTCCTTTTCTAATTTATTTTCAACTAAAACTTGTTTTTTTGATGATAATTCTTGATGCAATCTTGAGGCCATATCAATCAACATTATAAACATCAATACATTACATCTATTTAACTTGTAGTTAAATGAAAATTATTTTTATTTTATTAAAGAATTTATAATTTTATATTATTACAAAAAAATAACGATAATTTGAAAATATTTCGTAAAATAATTAAAATAATTCTGTATATAAAAGAATAAAGGACGCAATATTTAAGAACAAAAAGTAACGATATTGTTATCTGATAAATAAAAAAGGTTGTATGATTCACAAGTCATTTATCGATTTATAATAATTTCCCAGATTGACAAACTGCGAAAGATTAAAAGCATTCTCGAAAGTATAAACGAAAGCAATAAGTCGTTAGCCTCTAAAAGAAGGACTTACCTTATCAGGACGCAGTCTAACCCCAATAATCCGTACACTTAAAATCTCCCGCAGCGGCTAAACATCACGAACCGCCCTTAACGACCTTAGGAAAACACGTTCATCACCTTTCAGCACCATTCACAACGGCCTTGGGGTGCGCCACCCCTGCGAGAATCACGTGTCCAACTGCGAAACGATCGCGCAAACGCCAGTTACGAATTCTTTAAGGTACACTTCAGAACCTCGCGACCGATCTCGCGGATTCAACAGTCCTTTCACCTTGTCCCGTCATAGTCATGTGATCCTATCCTCGTTTTCTCATAAGATTTCCGAGGTCAGCCGGGAGGGTTTCCTGTGAAAGTATCTTAGGACTGAAAAACTCTCCGGATCTCCTCCGTTCGTCACGGAAATCCAATCGACCGTCTTCGTGTCAGTGTGATTTCTGATGACAGTCACGTGGCGAAGGACTCGTCCGAGTACCGAGCGGAGCCAGCGGAACGCGTTGCACCGTCTCGGTGATCCGTCGGGGACTGCGTTTGCCATGGCTCCCCACCAGGCATCTCGGGGGTTGGACGCCCCCTCGTCGGTTCGGCACCCCGACGCGCGACGTCGCTCCGCCTCCACGTGGATCACCGAATCCCCACCTTGTGAGCGTGCCAAGGGTTTGATCCCCGGTGGATGCCGGCGGCGTCTTAAGTCGACCGCGACGCCAAGGAGACTCGTCGTCGCTGGAGAGCTGGTGAACAAGTTGAAATCCGGGAGTGTTAACGATACTATAGTTAAATATCGATAACTTTGTTTAAAAAAAAAATCTTTATTTTCAGTGGAAATGTGCCGTTAATAAGAATTATACCCCTTATTAGTCAAAACATATAAGATTTCCAACTCTTATTAAAATCTTACTAACGAAAAGTACTTAAAAACTTTTTCTATGAAGTTAATTAAGAATTAATGAACTCTTATTAACGCACTAGTATAAAAAGTAGAAAAAGGCAAACAGAGTCAGCCATTCTATAGCAACAGAAGTAAAAAAAGACAAACAAAGTCAGACTAGTCAGACTAGTAGTAAAAAAGGACTAAGTCAGACTTTTACAATAAGGCGAGTTAAAATTTAGTCAAATATTTTAATTTTATTTTTGTATGAAAGAAAACTCTTCATTACTCTCAAACATGAAATAATTCAAGAAAGCATGAATTCACACATAGTTTTTTTATTACGAAAAACTCACCGTCAAATAAATATTGAATTGAAATAATTTATTGAAGAAATATTAAATACGTGTAAGTCGATAATATAATTGATTCAGAAGCTACAATAATCTCAAAAGGATGACACTGTTCGCAAATTACGCGTCATTTATACTAATGCGTGTACGGTTATACTATGTCCATGGCAAAGAATTCCTCGGCGCCTTCATGTTTATTCAGCATTTTTAATGGCACCTCTCTCTTGTTATTCTCCACTCGCACCTTCCTTTTGTTCTTGCCGGTGCTATTACAGTTTCTCGCATAAATTTAATAATTAAAGACGCGGGATATCGAAAACGCATTTAATATTGAAATCAAATGCCGCCGCTTTTCGTATGGTCAAATCCTATTCGCGTAACAAGATAATGCAATACGGAATTGAATTTATGCGATATTCATTGCATGAACGATTTGATTGCGGACGCGTCGGACGAATAAAAATTTCACACTCAGCAAATACACATCCACACCCAATTAATTTTCGCATGATACGCGACGCGTGAAACCTCTGGACTTTGCAAATGAATATACTTTTCGCGGGGACATGTGTTATGAAAATCTTTTATGCAGGCGCATATTTCCATAAAAATAAATTGTTCCGCTCTTCAATGTTTTACTAGTTTTTCCGCACACTGGCAAAATTTGTTCGTAGAAGTAAAAGAGGAATTCTTACTTTTAAAATGTTTAAAAGTAAAAGATACATTTAGCCAAATATATTTTTGCTGTTTTTATAATATCAAATAAATAGATTTGGCAATTCTGTTGTACAAAACTTTCTTAACTTTTATAAGACGTATATGTATAATTCAATATGAAAATAAAGTAATTCAATAAAGAAATGAAAGAACTCATATGTGAGTTCGAAATAAATTTTTATTAACTCGTAAAATTTTTCGTGTCGCTAAATACGTTTTCGCAGTTCCAAGGGGATTGCCCAGAATAATGAAAGGGGAATGTCCTACAGTTTATAGTCCTCCCTTTGGAGTTTCGCGTTATTAAAACTTTGCTTTCGCACTGACTTTGTACTTTCGGTCGTAACTAGTAAATACATATTAAGGTTCTTTATCGCTCCGATTGTACAACCTTTTACCATTTCCAAATAATTTCCATTTTCTTGCGCATGTCTAGGACACGAAGAAATAATAATTGTATATACAGGAATATGAAAACAGTACAGTTACATGCCTGATTTTTGACGAATATTACAAGATTTTTTACATCATTTTATTTTTTTAAATAAAATAATGAAAAAGTATAAAACAATATGATGTACAAGAATCTTGTAATATTCGTCAAAAAGCAGGCATATAACTGTACTGTTTTTTATATTCCTGTATATTCAATTATTTTGTGTCCTAGATATGCACAAGACAAATGTCATTAGCAGCATTAGTAATGAATTTCCATCAAGGACAACGTGCGATCCTACAAACTAATTGCGATCCCAGACGTACATATTACGTCCAAAGCAGTCATACGCGCGCAAAAAGAGACTACAGGTGCATGCATGTAGAGAGCTCTTTATGCATGTATCACATCGGCACTATTAACGAAAATTTCCGGCCTGATCTCGTCTGTTCAATTTACGTTGAAACGCGATCATAATCAACTTTGTCTATTGAGCAGATACCGATGGGCACCCTTAATATCAGGAAATTTCAAATTTCCTCCATTTAAACACATAATTCGATCCAAGTACATGCGACATTAATTCTCTAGTTTGTGACGACAGTCAACTATATTTGTCTCAGAATCTATTACCAGAAGAATATATGTTTTAAAATTGATAGAATAATTACTAAACTGTGAGAAAAGTTTTCCCGCAAGAATGCAAAAAAAAAAGTAATGCATTTCAGGAAAATTAATGTATGTTTCTTAAGATGTAAATTGTATTGTCTACTTTACCGTTTTATTATAATATGAAAAATTTTATTATTATATTAAAAAAGTTAAAATAGATAATACAATTATTTAATAATTTTTTATTGTAACAATCTTCGCTATCTCTTCTTACTAACTAATTGAGTAGTTGACTAAAATAATTTAACATTTGCAAACAAAATTCGTACAACAGGTATAAAATATTTAATATTTACAGGTATTGTAAAATATTTCGATATTGTTAGAATATGCTCTGAAGTAGACTTCAGACATCTGAAAAAACCGCCCGTCTAACAGCAATATTTTGATAGCGGAACATGAAACAACAGAGAAATCATAAGCTATCGCGATATTAATGAAGAATATTCCAACTGTGATCCTAAAATATTTTCGCGCCACGTTTCTCGAAGACTTGAGATACAAGTGTTTTTCGACGAAACTCTCGTGGCGCGCGTCCTCCTCCTTTCGTCGGGTCCGAGGAAAAAGAGAGCGACAAGACGTTCACCCTTTTGCCTCTCCCCTTACTCGACCCCCTTGGGTCGAAGGTGGTGACATCGGTGTGTGTGTGTGTGGGTATAAGGGCGTGTGTGTGTGTGTGTCGAGTGTTTTTATTCCATTACCCCAGCAGCACGGCACCATCCTCTTAACCACTTACTTAACCCACGACCTTCGGCCTTGTCTCCCCCGCGTTCGCGCTTGATGGCCTTCGAAAACTCAAATATTATCCGTCGTTCGATCCTGTCCCCACTGAGAACAGGAACGTCGCCAGGGGCCATAGGATCTTGAGGATCCTCGCGATTCCGTTCCTCTCGCTAAAGAGGGTTCTCCTTCGTGAAAATGACTTAAACCTAATTCTCATCGGCTCTGACGGCGTCAATAATGTTTCTATCAGCCACCGTGATTCTCATTCGATTACTTGTCGCGAGTGCCGATACACCATCCTCATTACACGCCTCACCGTCAATTCGTGCCAATTTTTTTTTTTAAGACGGTAGTATTCGCGAGACAACCTACCATCTCAGGCGTTTCAGGCAGTAGAGACATGATTGAAAAAATTGACTTAAGAAAAGTTTTATCGTTTAAAGTTTCCAACACTTAACACATTTCGACGCTGGAATATTTTCCGCAAAAGAAACTAAAGTTTGAGTAAATCGAAATTTGTATGAAAATTCTTTCGACATATTGGAATTTATTTTTCTTATTTAAATGTTATGAAGAGAGGTAATAATTTTTATATAATTGAAGGCGCGAAGAAAGAATTTCTTAAATAAAAATCTTTTTTTTATTTACTTTTAAAGACTCAAAAAATTAAAATTTTTAGTTTTAATATTAATTAGATATATATATAAAATAAATATGAAAAAAAATATTACAATTCATGAAGAAGAGGTCATTTAAATAAATCAAGAAATCGTTAAAGAAAAGTGTCATATTTTACGTTAATAAATCAGTACAGTAATTAAAGGTTTTCTGTCAAACAGAATAAAATGTTCATTCGACTGTGATCTTGCCGGAAACGATACACAAGTAACCGATAACTATTGAGCAATACAGATAATTATAAATGTATCACTGGTTGTTATTCTTTGCATCGCTTATATCTGTATCTTCATGTTGAAGGAAATATCTTTTTTCCTAAAATAGAATTCGATTTTATTCGTAACGGAAGTTACCGCGAGTAAAATACCTATCTTTCCGCCTTTCTTTCAACCTCAATTTGCAATTTCCATCCCCGTCGATTTTGCGCCACGGTAATGCGAACAGGCCGAAAACTTCGCACAACGACGCATCACCCAAGTTTTTATCGCGCAGTGCGCGGTGCGCACATTTGCGCGAAATTTGCGTCCACAACACGTGAACCTGGAAATCTACTATTCCACTTCGTTAATGAAAGTGATATAACGTCCCGAATGAGATGCAAATGGCCGCGGGATGTGGTTGAAGTGCAGATACCGGCCGGATGAGTTTTTACCTAACGCCCCGCACGCCGGCGAACATAATGCGTTCCTTTTTTACTCTTCTAAATCGGATCATTTCTATTTCT